TCTGTGTCAGATGAGTACAGCAATACTAATATCAGTGCCCAAGACAAAAATACCCTTTAAGGACTCTTTAATATTTGCATAGTATTTAAAAATAAATAGCTTAAGTATTGATAAGATTGTGTATTTATTAAATTTGCTTCATCTAGTTTCTGATGAATCCAGTGAGCATTATGAATGCAGAGTTACATTTTGGCTAGTAGAACTCATAAGAGCACAAAAAATAAAACAAAACAAAACAAACAAACAAAAAACCCCTAACAACAGACAATTACCTGGGTAGTCTTTGTTTTCAGATATCTTGCAGATATCTTCAGATATCTTGTAAACAAAAATAGCACAAAAATTAGTGTTTGGCTAAAAGATGTATTGAATCTTTGAAATGACAAGACTGGATAAAACATTTTTTTATTAATTGAAAACTGTTTTTACTAATTCTTTCCCTGGCTTATGAAATGATGGTCAAAGTAATCATTCTGCCTGTCTTGTAGATTCAAATTTGTGGTGGGAGTTGTAGTAATGACCACTGTAACAAACATACCTACATTCCCCACTGATATCAGCAGGACTCAAAGGGATCGGGAGTTCTTTTGCAGACTTAGAATCATCCAGTTGTCAGAATCATTTCTGAGAGCAAGACCACAAGATGGGGCTCAGTTCTCTGAGAAAGAAAGAAAGGAATAAAGAAATACTTCTGATTATACAAGAAGAGGAAGCACTGTGGGAAGATTTTATTTTGAAGAAAAATGTGACTGAGAAAGAGAGCATTTGCGTAGAGGACAGCACAAAGTCAAAAAGCTGAGGATATCACTAGAGATGATAGGCCAACTCTTTTCTAAATTTTTTGTTGCTTCTTAGGAGATGACTAAAAACCCAAACTGAGATAATTAAAAAGCCAAACTGAGATGGGACTTTTACTGGAATTCCTCAAATACATTTTTAAATTATTTTTATCTCTTACCATAATATTAAAAAAAAAGAGTGTGTGATTGGAAGAATGACCAGCTTCCTTGTCTGTGGAAGCATGCCCATACATCTAAGTGTATGTATTAAGACATAAGTAGTAGTGCTGCCAGAACATGATGCAATTTGTATTGATAGGAATTAATTAAGGTATAATTTTCAAAGTAATTAGCTTGAAAATGGTCAATTTGTCAGAAACAGGGCAGATATTCAGACTAAGGATTAAAAGCCAAACACTGAAAAGCATTAACATGCTTAGTTCAGTAGGAGACTGAGGTGTTGCATGTACAAAGCACCTTATTTTTCCTGAGTTCAGTTAATTCATGTTGAATTAACTGTGTTTGTATATATTGAAGGCACCCATTCATGGAGTACATGGATGGAGTACATGGGAATTCATATTTTAATGCATATGGTGTGTCTGCAGAAGGACCTCATCTGCTCATTCGGCTGAGAGATGGGCTGACAGGAACCCCCTTCAGGTCACCAAGAAGAATTGCAAAGTCCTGTGTCTGGGGAAGAGCGCACACCAGGACACTTGTGGGAGCCAGACCGCAGTTTTGCATTGAAGGACCTGGGGATCCTCATGGGCATCAGGCTGAATATGGGCCAGCAACATGGTCTTCCTGCAAAGAAGGCTAATGATATCCTGGGCTGCACTATGGAAAGTACTGCCATCAGACCAAGGGAGGTGATCCTTCCCATCTACTTGGCACTGGTGAGGTCACACTTGAGTGCTGAGTCCAGTTATGGACTCCCCAGTACAGGAGAGACATGGATGTACTGGACAAAGTCCAATGAAGGACCAAAGAAACAACGAAAAAATTGGAGAATCTTTCCTGTGAGGAAAGGCTGAGAGAACCAGGACTCTTCAGCCTACAGAAGGGAAGGCTTATGGGAGCATTTCTCAATGTGTATAAATACCTGAAGGAAGAGTGCAAGGAATACAGAGACAGACTCTCTGCAGTTGTGCCCAGGATCAGGACAAGAGGCAGATGGCGCGAACTGGAAGATGGGAAGGTTCCTCTGAACATCAGAAAACACTTTTTTGTTGTGCAAGTGCCAAAGTACTGGCACAGGCTTCCCAGAGAGGCTGTGGAGTCTCTTCCTGGGACATACTCAGAAGCTGACCAGACATGAGCTTGAGCACTTTGCTCTATGTGGCCCTGCTAGAGTTGGAGCAGATGGCTTCTGAGGTCCCCTCCAGCCTCAGCCATTCTATGATCTGTAGTGCTGGTCTAGATCCTAGCGTCTTGAATGCTATAATTGGTTTGGAGCAATAATCCAAAATGAGGTAAGTATTTCAGTTGGCGAATTTTCTGAGGCATGGAACAGAGGAGCTTGCTTCAATGTCTATTCCTTGCTGCATACAGACACAAGTTTGTATGTATGTTTGTGAGCCAGAATAAAGTCTCTTGCATTGATAACAGCAGCACAGAGCTTGCCTTAGTTCAAGGCACAGGTGTTCAGCACAGACTAGCATGTCTGAATACACCTCTTTTTGCTGTACAGTACAGGAGCCCACTGGTTTCTCTCCCAGCCATCTTCTTGTCTGAATCAGCTACTCAGTCACTTGCATGCACTGTTCAGTTCTGGAGTGATGCACATCAGGTGTAACCTCAGATCCTTACGTACTGTTACGATGATGCTGTTTGAAGTAGCATTCCATGGTAATGCAACACCACACTTTACAGTTTTGTTTGTGAGGAACGTGGAACTGGGCAGAAAACAGCCAGAAGCATACTCAGCATCGTATTAAAGATGTATTCCTCAAAGAGGGGCTACGACGTCATGCCCAGTTCACACTGCAATGACAGCTCAAGAGCAAAAACTGAAAGCAGCACCAAGAAGGTTCAAAGCTGTTAATATTCCTGCCAGAAGTGCTCTGTGCTACAGCTGCTGACTTGCAGTGCCAAAGCCCTCATCTGTGAGATGTCTAGCACATCCCTGTGAGCATCCAGGTGCTTATGAGGACAAGCCCTATGTAACACTCTTCCATCCTTGTTGGCCAGTGCTAACTTAAAAAACTTAAAGCTATCTTAAAAACACTGCCAGCTACTCAGAATAGTTGGAGGGAAGTGATACGCATTTGTGAGTTTGAAGTCACATCCAAGAATTTCAGTCATTTTTGGCTGTCTTCCACCTCATACCTCACTGCACATTGTAGGAAAAATCCTTCATAATAGAGCAGTCTCCAGACAAGACTGTATCCGGATATCCACACTGTAGCAAATCTTAATGTGAGAGAAAATCCCTTTGTGGAATATGGAGAGGGCAGTAGGATTTTGGACAGACACTGTTCTGCGGATTAATAACCTTGTGCAGAATAAGTCCTCGTGTATATAAGCAGTCCTCTGCACGTAAAGGCCTGGGATTTTATGCTGCTTGTTAAAGCAAGAGCAATAAGGGATTAGATTATCTCCATTATGTTATCTGTTTCTTTGTTTTTTGTTTTTTGTTGGTTTTTTTGTTTGTTTTTTGTTTTGTTTTGTTTTGTTGTGTGTATGTGTGCTTTCAGTACAATGGAAATTTTAATTGAAACTCTGGTTTTGCAAACTTTTGATGTTTAGAAGACATTAGAATTTGTCCCTTTATGTATGTCACAGGAATAAAAAGGAGAAAGGACAGGACCAAGCAGTTAATCACCATCTTTCTGAATCAAGAACTGTAAATTCTGCTGATGTTTGGAGAAGGAATCTTCACAAGACTTTGACTCTTTTGCTTGCAGTTTCTGTCTGGAGTCATAATGAGACAGACTAGGGCAGACAACTGCTGTGATTGAGTTAATGTGGTGCATTGACTCATCAGCTGTTAGGTGAGCTAACAGCCACCTCATGATAATGAATTAGTTAGATCAAGAGGGCACATGTAACATTAATACATTTTACTTGCAATATCCAGAAGCCAGCGCTATTGTGCAGATGGGGAACCCGCAGCAACGGGGCAGGCTCAGAGATGACATCTGCACGGATGGGGCTGAGGCTGCAAACGCACGGCCCAGTATTCTTTGTCTTCAGAAAAAGTAGTTGTCCTTACGGAATTTACAAGATTTTGCACTGCACCTATAACAAAGCAGAAAATGACTCTGTCCCAAACCTGCAGAAAAAAAACAAATGCTTTGGAGTTAAACTTTCGGAGAAGTGGCTGAATTTACAATTTGAACACTAGAGAATGTAAATTAAGTACTGACCAAGGATGCATTTTACTTACAGTCACAAATCTGATTTCACTTATATTCACTTATATTCACTTAACACACGCCTCCAGAATGCCCTCAGAAGAATCGGGGCGCGGTACTGCAGGCTGCATACCGTGTTGTCGTTCATCCCTTTCTATATGCCGTGCAGCCGGCGGTAAGCTGTGTGCCTTCGCGACGGATAAGCAGACACCAACACTCCATTTAGTATGGAAGAAACTCCGGGAGACTTTGCTGATGCTTTGCTCGGGGTCGCGCGGCTCCGCGACCGAGGCGCGGCAGGTGCCGGCGGCCCGCAGTCCCACGGCTCTCTCAGGGCAGACGGAGGGACAGCAGAGCTTGTCCCGCCCAGCCCTTTCCTCTGGTGCCGGTCCAGCACGGAGCTCTCGCAAGGCGCCTCGCGGGCACGCGGGCGGCCGCGGGCCCTGACGGGACGGAGGCGCGAAGGAGAGCCCCGCGGGCGGGCGGTGAACAACCCGCCCTTCGCCGGTGAGCGCGGAGCGCGGCCCCTCCTCCGGAGCGCGAGGCTGAGGAGGGGCGGCGGCGGCGGCCCCGCCCGGCGCTCGCACCCCCGGGCGGCTCAGCCCCGCCGCACCTCCCCGCGGGCGGGCTGCGGCCGGGGCGGCGCCGCTCTCCCCGCGGCGGGTGTGGGGAGCTGCCGGCTCCGCCGGGCTGCGCCCAGCCGCGGGGACGGGAACGGCGGCAGAGGGCTGAGGAGCGGAAAGGAACGGAGCCCGCAGGCGAGTCCCGGGGCGGCGGCATGGCGACGGAGCGCGGCTGGAGGTAACGGCCGCGGCGGGCGGCTCCTCCGGCGGGATCGGAACCCCCGGCTCCAGTCTGCGGGCGGTGCGCGGTTGCTGCTCTGTTTCAGGGCCCCGCCGCTCCCCGAAAAGTTGTGCGGTGCCGCCCGGGCAGCCCGCCCGGTGCTCGGGTGCCTCGGCGCGTCCCGGGCGGCTTCGGGTCGTTCCGTCCGTCGGCGGCGCGCTCGGCATCTGCGTGCCGGCTGTGGTACCCAGCGCGGCCCTTCCGCCGCCTTTGGTTTTCTTTTTCCTGCCCTGTTTTCCCGACCGCTTCTGTGCGACGCTGTTGCCCTCTGGTGTCCGTGGGCGGCCGGCCGGGCGGCAAACTCGGTCGTCGCCGGGAAGAAACCGTTAATGACTTCAGGTGGTGACAGCTGCTGGAATTCCCTAAGTCCCGTGAGGACATTACAGCCGATCCGACCGTTAGTGCACAGCAACACGAGGCCTTTGGTAAATGGCAGAAAAGTCTTCTGCGCTTTCATTCGCTACTTTTCGCTAGGTAACTTCGTTTTCTGGGTTGATTCATTGATTGGTTTGTGTGGCTTTGCCATTTTCTTTATTAAAACGGCAAGCGGAGAAGACGGCGTTCTTTTAGCCGTCGGCACTCTCCTCGGGTGTTGGGGCGGGAACGCCGCCCGCTGCGGGGAGAGGGCGAGAGCGGGACGGGCGGGACGCGGGGTCGTGCCGCGCGTTGACCTTACGGGCGGTTCGCCGGCAGGTCGTGTCGTTCCTACTTTGTAACGTTCGTCTGCTTGCTGGAAACAGCTTTTGCCTTTGAAAAACGGCGTGAGACATAAGGTATCCTAAGATGCGCTGGTAGAAAGTCTTGTGTGAAGATAGAGTAGCAATTTGAAGAACAAAACTGACCTTTGCGCTAAATGGAAGTCCGCCTCTTAAATACTGCATAGTTGTTATTCTAAAATACTTTAATAACAAATTCTGATGCGTGAGTTCCTGCCTTGTCAGGTTCTGTAGCACCGCATACAGCAGTGCAGCATTGAGATAAGGATAGCTGAGATATGACAGCAGCTGAAAACTGCTTGCACCAACAACTCAAGAAAAAGCGTGTCTATCTGCCAGAATGTTTGTTCTGCTTTTCTGTTTGGTTTGGGTTTTTTTGTTTGTTTGTTTAAAGGTACCTGAGAAACGTGCTTTACCTGAGTATTGGAGGGCATACAAGCTTTGTTAGGCAATGATAAAGAGTCTCGATGCCTTCCCTGGGCTGTTTATGTTTCATAGCACCATCTTTTCCAGCTGAAAATGTCTCCTTAATATCCAGCCATAAGACCTCGTTCTCCACCTGTTTATGAGGTTATTATGCTTAACTTACGAGTTATTGCTGCTTGAATACTTCAGTCAGCACAGTGAAGTAGAGGTACTTTGGTATGTGGAGACCAGTTTCATGTTTTCATGATTGGTCTTTAAAAATGTGAGCACTACTGCCCATGCCAGATGGGGCTACTTCGAATGCCCTTTGCTGCTTTTTATCAGTCATTCTTATATCCAAGAGTTACATTTTAGTAGCAGTGATACAGTGAATGGGAGTGTTTCCTGAAGGTTATATTTCGTAGTAGCTGTCCAAAGCAGGATTTTCTGCTCTAAGCAATTAAATAGCATTCTAATCACTATAAGCTGGAATGCCTATATCAATGTGCTGAACAATGTCTGTTCTTGATGTAGGACTCCTCATTCAACCCATGAGGAGAGTGTTGTTACTGCTGCTGAGCACCCAGTCTGGTAAAGAACAGGCATGGAACATAATGAGGAGGATTATTACAGGAGGCAGGTGGAAAAATATGTATAGATATTGCAAAGCAAACAGATGTAATAACTGAATAAAACTGTTGGCTAATGAATCCTGAATTCACAGTGCTTTCTGACTGGGAAGATTTTCTTTACCCTGAAACAGTTTGTGAGGGTTTTTGTTTTATCTTTGTATGTAAATGTGACACAACTTTGTTGCTCCTAAGCAGAGGTCACAATATATAGCCGCCTTTGCATAGGTCTGAGGTAAATTAAACCAGGTTTTTATATTGGGCTTTAAAAAACTTAAATTGAGAGCATTTTCTCTTTCGCTTTTGGTTATTTTTGCTTAGCCTATTGGTTAAATCTTGATAGTTTTAAATATACTGAGATAAAGCACATTTCTCTTAGTTTTAAGTCGCATTGATATTCATGACACAACTTCAACAGATAAATTTTTTAAAGTATAAGACTTAAAGCAGTTTTCCATGTTTGTCTTTATGTGGATACAGGTAGTAGGAGAGCAAGAACTATGTTTCTTTAGAGCTCCTTAGTCCAGAAAACAGCTTGTTCATGCTGTGCAGACAAGGCAGTCGTACAAAGCCCATGCTGCAGTGTGTGCTGGGCATGCCGCGGAAGTCCTAGTGCAGAAATCTGCCAGTGAGGGCATGGTGTTCACAGTTGCCATGGCACTCACACAGCACATGTCCTTATACTCTGTGCATCAGTCTGAGCCCGAGGATGGGGCTCCTCACCAAGCGCAAAGTCTTCTGGTGAAGTTGCTTTCATATTATGTTAGTTTTACTGCTGGGAAATAATAATTAAAAAAACCCCAATATCTGATTTTGTGCTGTTCTCTGTGCTCACTAGAGAACACCTCTACACCTCATGAATAGTAAAATCCCCAGCCAGCTTTGTCTCGAATATTTGCAATAGGGTTATTGTGCTGAAATGATTTATAGGAGCCAGGATTGCAGTCATTTGTAGTTAGTAAAGTAATAAACTCCAGACAGCTACAAGTGGTAGGAACTCACGAAAGCCATGTGGCTTCATCATGGTGCTTGTTCTGTCATCAGTTTTTTTCTTATTAGTGAATTTGGAGAAAAGGGAAAACATGAAGTGCAAAATCTGTATTCTAATACCTCTCTTTCATTCTGGCTGGCAGAAGGTACCCAGGACTGTGACAGCCCAGCAACATGTGTGACAATTGTAGATCTCATTAATAATGTGATATTTTATTTCCTGTGCCCATAAGATTTTTGTGAGAACTAGTCTGATGCTGCAGAAATCACTTCTGCAGTAGAAGAGGATGACGTTGAGCTTTGCTGCATTCAGAATAAAATGCAACATTTCTTTCCATGACTCAGCTTTCTCCTGCATAGTGAGTCCTGCATAGTGAGTCCACAAGTTAAAAACAAACTTCTAAATATTAGACATATTTTCAAGTAATTTTTATCACTAATCTTCACACTAAGGTGATATTTTGATACCGAATGCAATGTAAATAAAAGCCACTGGTCTCAATTTTCAGAGAATGGCATAAAAATGTGCAAGTATGTAAGAAGTAAAAAAAAAATAATTTGATCATGGAGATCAAGCTGTCATGACTTATTTATTCTTTTATTAAATATTATATTCTTTTCTTGTGAAAATAAGATTCCACGAGGACAGCCCTGTTCTGAAGTACCAGTTCAGAGAGCTTCCTTGGAGTTGGTATGTTCTAAACAGTGCCCTCTGTCAGTGTGTACTGTTGGCAGTAATCATGTAGAAGAACTATTTGCCCTTAAGCTGTGTCTGAGGCTGTGACCCTGTGACCAAGTTCACATAGTCATGGTAAGTTGTACAGTGTGGGGTGAGTGATGCACCAAGGAGGTCTCTGTACCTCTGTTACAGCCAGTGCATGATGTTTTAGGCTGTAAGAATCCAGTATATCTAGCAAATAGTATTGTTCAGAGTAAAAGTAGTCTGTTCCTGCACAAAAACAGCTGTAACTTGTCAAGACTTTGAAACTGTTCTGATATTATTAAATGTATGTTCCCTTTTCTTTTGTGTTCTTTTGAACTCTTGCCATGCAAAGCAGTCTTTAAATAAGCAAGACCTTACATAAGAATCAAGCTGATTCAAGAGAACATGCATTTAAAACTTGTCTTATTCTGTTTCATTCCTCTTCCTTCCTTCCCCTTTTCAAGTGGTGAGGATGCCAGGTCTGGCTGTGGTCCTGCTGGGTCTCAGAGATTTCCTCAGTGTGAAGCCTTGCATCTATCAGTGTTTTTACCCACCCCTTCTTGCAGCTGCACTCTGTACCTCAGGAGGTACCAGCAATTAGGAGCTAAGAATAAAATGGCATGGGCTTTCTTGTAGAAAAACACACCTCTCTAGGCTGGCTCCAGATTTTCTGCTCCATGGAACCACCTTAGGACATCTTTGCTGCAAATATTTCAAGTGCTTCTGCTGCTTCCTTTATCAGCCCTTGAGCTGCAGCCCCTCTATAATATCTTGTTCAAACGTGTGCCTACAGCTGCTGCACCCAATCAGCCCTTTCTAGCCATGAATTTGGGTCACTCTGGATTTTTCCTGCTCCAGGAAAAATTCCTTCAGTATTAACACATTCAGGTGGCAAGGTAGGAGCTGAAGCTGGTGAAGAGTGAGACATCAAAATCACACTGCTGGGAGCTTCTAGCTCATCTGACTTGAATGGTTCCTGTCATAAAAATAGGAGTTCTTCATGGCTCTGTCAGAGCAGCTTGGGGAAGAAGAAGCAAGCAAGCCTCGAGCAGTATGTTGAATGGTGGCTGACTGCCACTCAGGGAAGCAATGGTACTTTGGTCAGTAAGAGTTCTGCTTTGGAGGTTCGTGTCTCTCTACTTGTTAAGCAGACCTGAAGCTCTTTGTAAGGCTGAGTAAGACAGGGTGTGTGGTTTTTTGAAGAAAGGCAGTCATGTGTATAATTATTCCTCAGAATGCAGTAGGCATTCATTTTGGCCACTCAAATTATGAGTTTCTTGGCAGCCAGTCAGCTGCATTGGAGATGCAAAATGAGGGCTGTTTTCACTGAGAATCCTTTGTGCCCGTAACAGAAAATTGACTGTCTGGAAGCATGCCTTAAAAATCCAGTTTTACTCATTCAAGTAAATGAAGCTTCTAGTTTATCATCTGCCTTCCTATCAGTTTATATATATCTTTTCTGCTGTCTAAGGCAATGCGCTTGAAGGTAGTATGACAAAAATCAAATATCTCAATACTTAAAATGTTTGAGATCTTCTAAAGGTACTTTCAGATTTACATTCAGTATCTGTCCATTCTAAATGCCTCCAGTTTCTACAGGCACAAATTATATTACTTTTGGTTAACACTGAATAACTAGGCTATGTGCCTGAGTAAAAGGAGAATCTCTTGTCTAAAAGCTACATATGAGGCTTTGTCCAACTGCGGGTGAGATTCAAGGCCAGGTGCAAGTCTACTGAGAGCAGGGAGTGCTGATGAGATGCTATCTATGGAAAGTAGAATAGGAGTTGACAAGAGCAGAATGTGTCCAGAAAGTGGGCTCATCTGGTGATACACAGGTTTAAAGAGAATCTGAGTTATGAATGAGAGCTGACATATTCTTACTCTTGGCGCTCAGTTTTGCTCTTCTGATAGATGGGATGCCATGTAGTTTCTTCTTGAGTTATGGACTCTCCAACTTCATTCAGAAGTGCATTAATGAAGTATAGAATACACTTAGAATACACGTAGAATAATGTTCCCCTATTTTCTAGGCCTTGACATAGAAAGGTTGTGACATTTCCTCAATGTTTGTGTTATCAGCAGTTGTTTATCAGTAATTCTTTTGGTTTTGGGTTAAAAAGAAAGAAACAAGAGAAACAGTAAGTTCTTTGCTGCCGTAACCTTGCATTTCAGTGCCTTCTGAGTATGCCCTGTTTTACATTATATTCTGAGGGCAGGGAGTCTGTGAGATTTAGAGACATTTTCAAGTGGGTCTGGTAACCAGTGGGAATTCTGGAAGGGAATTCTGGCTAGGTCTTTTGGCTCTTGAAATGTTAGGCTTTGTTTTTGTTAGATTGAAGTTTTTCAAGGAGGAGGTTCTTCAAGCTGCTCCTTTATTTGTGCTTTAGATATTCTGGTGTTGCAATACTATAAAATGCAGAGTGACGGTTGTATTTTATAAAACAATCGGGTATAATGGAGAGCAGGAACAAATAATGCTACTAATGTAAAATTTCAGAAGGAAACTATCACAGTTCTTTGAATTGTTTTCTTCTAAACCTTTCTTTAGCAGTGACTTGTGTTATCCATTAATTCCAATGTGACAGTACTTCACAGATGTGGTGCCTTAATTAAATCTCTGATTTTCTTTTCTTCTAGACTATACCTTCTGTAAAGCTTTGTGGAAGATAAATGTGTGTGCTGCAATGGTGACATAAATATTTAAGAGGACTGGAACAAGTTGTTGAGAATCTGCGTGTGTTTTTAATGCTGCTGTTGAGAGCAATCTAAGACAAGTAAACAACATGAGTTTTATCATGAAACTTCACAGACATTTTCAAAGAACAGTTATTTTGCTGGCTACTTTTTGTACGGTGAGCATTGTTATTTCTGCATACTACTTGTACAATGGCTACAAACAAGAAAATGAACTTTCTGAAATCTCTTCAGAAGTGGAATGTGGTGATCTTCCACTGTTTCCATACAAGCTGATGGAGATGAAGACCATGAAGCCTATTGATCCACTGAGGACAGATCTTGTAGTGCTGGTATTTGTGGAAAGTCAATATTCAACATTAGGCCAAGATATAATAACCGTTTTAGAATCTAGCAGATTTCAGTATCACATTGAAATTGCATCTGGAAAAGGTGACCTCCCAGTGCTTATGGACAAAAATAAGGGCAAATATGCTCTCATAGTGTACGAAAATATTCTAAAGTATGTGAATATGGACTCTTGGAACAGAGGTCTTCTAGATAAGTATTGCATAGAATATGGTGTAGGGGTTATTGGATTTCACAAAGGCAATGAGAACAGCTTGCAGAGCTTTCAGTTGAAGGGCTTTCCTCTTCACGTCCACAGCAATCTGGGTATTAAGGACTGTTGCATTAACCCTTATTCCCCACTGCTCCATGTGACTAAATCTTCTAAACTTGAGAAAGGTCCTTTGCTTGGAAATGACTGGGCAGTTTTCCAGATTAATCATACAGCTTACCAGCCAGTGATATTTGCAAAAGTAAAGACACCAGAAAACCTTTTGCCACCTGCTGCTAAAAGTGCTCTCCATGCCACAGTAATTCATGACCTGGGTCTCCACGATGGGATACAACGAGTCCTTTTCGGCAATAATTTGAATTTTTGGCTGCACAAGCTGATTTTCATAGATGCCATCTCTTTTCTGTCCGGAAAGAAGCTCAAACTGTCCTTGGATAGGTATGTTCTGGTTGATATAGATGACATCTTCGTTGGGAAGGAAGGAACAAGAATGAATGCCAATGATGTACAGGTAAAGTATGTACGGAAACTAATAGTTGTTAAGGCAAAGTATCATGTTTTTATTATTACTCTTAAAATGAACAGTTATTAATTGTTGAAACTCAAAAAGGATGTGAATCAGTAAGAATAGCTATGCAAACTCTTTGTGCCTTGAGAGAGAAGCCAATATGACTGACTCTCCGCAGTCATTAACTCAAGGTGTAGCAGTTCCTTCCTCCTCCAAGCTGGAGGGATGTGAGTGCAACTTCACTTCTATAGGTGAGAAAGGGAACATAAGAAAATAAGAGTCACTGGTTAATATCACTTGTTTTCTCTTAAATAGCAAAAATGCTTGCTGAACTAAATTCTGTAATCTCACTGGTGGGCACCTCTGAATAACATTCTCTGCACTACGTATGGAAAATAGTCTTTCACAAGAAAATTAAAGATGACTAGTTGCTAAGTAACTGTTAAAGAAAGGTGGTAAGAGAGGCAGTGTTTTCATTTCTCCCTGAGCCCCCAAGCACTCACAGTTCTAATTAAGTAATTAGAGTATTTAACTCTAGTCTGATGATACCTTCTGCCTAAATGCGTACCTTAGAAGACTTGGAAACAGCACAGGACTTCAAAGCTGGACTCGAGATCTATTAGCATGTAATGTACGTGTTGCTAGTCTTACAAGTGGGAAGTAAATGTGGTGAGCAAAAAGAAATGTCAACATAACTTTTGAAGAACGGATTGGATTATTAGCTTAAATGTTTAAAATGCATTTCAAATGTCAAAAGCTGGTTGCAGCATTTCACCTTTCTTAGTTTTATGGCACTTACTTACAAGCAAGGTTTGTATTAATTTAGGTCTCAAAAGCTTGTTCAGTCACTAAATGAGTCAGTGTTAAAAATGTTAAATTTTCATCTTAACATTTCAAGTTGGACATTTAGGAATGTCCTTTTTTTTTACTTTCCATTGTCATGCTGTTCAAGTGAGGTTGTAGGTTGAAGTCAGTAGGAATAACATTACTTCTTGCTATATGCCTCCCTTTCTTTTTGTGAAGTCTTGTAACAAAGCAGATAGAGATAACTGCAGAAATAATACTTAGTCTAGAAGCTAAAAAATAGGATAAGATGCTGATGACTAGTTTCTGCTGGAAACATGGGGAAATTTCCTGTGAAAACTTTCAGCATGGAAAGATGTTCTGAAAAAGGTTGGGCAGTGATAGCACTCCATGAAGATGATAGTCTTAACATTATTAACTCAATTTTTTTATTGTGTTTTGTGTATTTTTTTTTTCCAGTGGTAGTATATGTGTCAAATTGCAGCAGCCCTGTGTTAAACTGTGTTATTAAGCAAGAGACTTGAATTTGTAGTTACTTAAATGTATTAAAATTAAATTAAAAATAAAATTGCACTATACACTGAAACTTCCTCTGTGTATGCAATTATAAATAAGATATGTTCCTTAGATAAGTAGGTGTTTCCCCTATGCAAAAAAAAAAAAAAAAAAAGAATGGATTGGAATAGAATAAGGGTGAATTTCTGTATGGAAATTGGTGCCAACATTTGAGTTAGATGGATAAGCACGCTTTGAGGATCTCCAGTGTGCAAAATGAAATTGCAAGAACAAGGTAATCAGTTGTTGTGCAGAAGGAGCAGTTTCTATTAACAAATAAAGCCCAAATAGATTTCCCACTATGTTGTACAGCAGCAATTTGAAATATTATGTTTCAAATTTTGTCTATGTGAATGACACCTGAAGGTAATCATTCTAACTTATCCTAAAATGAAAAATTGCCAGAATTACTTGCTAGAAACAGGTGGCTATTGAGACAAATTAGAGTAAAGCAAATACAAAAGGATGAACTGTATTGTTCCAAGAGAATAATTTGCAGTATGTCAGAATGTTATCTTTCCTAAGTAAAACTGTCAAATTAAATAGAAATAGTATCAGAGTGGAAATAAATGAAATTACCCTACTTAAAAGTTACAGTGAACTATGCTCTGAAAGAGTGGAATGCAAAAGCGTTCCCTTCAAGTTCTTCATCTACTTGAAAGTTAAAACATTCTATTAAACACGTTGTTAGGGCTGTCAGGTACAATGCATCTTCATTACTATTAATATCAAAGGAATTACCCTCTGTGGCACGTTGACATGTGGAAGGAATGAAATAAAATCAATTTGCAGTAGTTGAGAATCTGTTATTGTATAGTGTATTTTGCATAAGTGACACTCCATTAGACAGCAGTGTTTTACTGGTTTCTGTTGCATTGACTGTGACAGAATTGAATGTAAAAAGAAGTTACTAAATGAAGAGTTTGTGTAATTTCAAGATTAACTCATTTCTGCTAAGGTTATATTATAAATACTGGTAGTATAAAATTGGATATCATGTTTTTTGTGTTTCATTTTTGTTTAGTGTGTTTCCTACCTAATATTTTCTGGATGCAGTTGTATCTTTTAAGACTGAACTTACTTAATGCGCTGTGGATGTTTCTTCATGCACTCCATTAATTAATGCACTTAATCACTTCAGAAAGCTTCTAGTCCCCAGAATAGCTGTGTGGTTAGCACTGCTCCCTGTATAAGGCAAAATTTAGAAACTGGAGAGTTGTTGCAGATGTGATACAAAACTGTAACTCATCAGTGAGTTACAGCACTGAGTTACAGCATCAGAGTTACAGCACTGACCCCTCTGGGTCCATCTGGCCCAACCCCTGCTCAAGCAAGGCCATCCAGTGCAGGCTGCCCAGGACCGTATCCATCTGGTTTGGAAGATCTCCAAGAAGGGAGATTCTGATTCCAAGTAAGGTCAGGTTTTCAAAAGAATTTCTTCTCACTTTTTTTCATAGGTTAAACTGCTCATTTTTTTGAATTTTGTGAACTGGAGTTGAGGCTATCTGAAAATTGCTGTCATAAGGTTAAGTGTTGTTTTTTGATCGGTAGTATATATTGACCTCAAAAGCGGTGAAGTCAAAAGCAATACCTCTAAATGAGAGCCTTCTGCATCTCTAAAAATTAGGCAGAGTGGTGGTGCTTCAGCTGGAGTATATGTAGTGCCACAAATACAAGCATAGAGAACCCTTCTAAAAATCTTTGGACAAAGTTTGTATAAAAGTCCTTTAAAACTAATAAATGGGTTGTTTTGTTAAACAATACAGCTTTTTTATTTAAAAAAAATAAATAACCACGAAACCTTGGAACTGTATTTCAGATTTTTAGGTTTGATTGTTACCAATTTGACTGTCACTATACAAAATCTGGATAAATAAAACTGTTCTCCCAGGTGCTGTACTGAATAGCTGCCACTGGTAATCATCCATGTTCATCTTTATTTATTTTATCACTCTCTGATAAAATAGAAGTAAGAGAATAGAACATTTTTGTAGTCTAATTGCATCCCACATTGAATATAAGCGTAGTAATGTCATCTCAGCATTCATTTTTCAGTAACCATTTTTCTCTCTTAATATCTGTCTAGCAGGAGAAACCATTATGCTGTGACAGTGCAACAATTTTTCTTTATGCCTTTTAGTCTTTGCAGTCCAAATAATTCTCTGAAATGGACAGCCAATCTATCTAAATATCTGCAAAGAAAGTTTATCTTAATAGACCAAGATTGTCCCAGCATAGTATAGTAATTTAATATAATCTTTTTTTGTCACCATTACTTTCAATTTATTTATTTATTTTCAGACTATAAAGCATTGGGAAAGTCATTTGATATTAGAAGGGAAATTAAATATGACTTTTTTATTTTCTACTTACTGTCCAGTACTGGTGGATTACAGTGGAATGTGCAAAAGTTGGTCAACCATTTCCTTCATTTCCCCAATCCATCTCTTTATGTATTTCCTTGAGAGCTGATCATGCTTTCAGAATGAAAAATCAGAACGTTGTGATTTTTTGTTTATTATTCTTTTAAGTCATTAGCTATGTGATTTTTGCATTGTGGGATACTTTCTACTTTTCAAAAGAGGTAATTTAAGCTGAAGTCTGGTAATCTCTACACTTTTTTCATGTAAGCCTAATTTTTTTTTTTTACCCTTTTTAATTCCTGCAGTGCTCAGGTATGGATCTACGGTGTTGATATTATTTAGGAAGAGTCTGGCCTGAATGAGCATTTTTGTTCATGTAACATATAAAACAAACAGTGCACAAATGGAATCATATTAACACTTGAAAATGATATGATAGATACTTCTTGTATTTTCTTATTACTCTTCTATAATTGCCAAGGAAAAGCTTTCATATTAACCATATACATTTTTGAGAGAGATGTAATCTTTTCTTTCTTTTTTCTATCTTGTGAGCACTTAGGCAATACATCGATTAGGAGACTCACATTTGGGAAATAGAATCTCGAACTTACAATGTTTTTTGCATTAGACTTGGTGCATTTGGACTGCAAGGGCAGTCCACCTAGTGAGATTCTTTCATATCATCTGTGCCAAATGGTGTACTGATAGCACAGAGGATTTAGCCAGGAAGAGTAAATTCATAGCATTTTAGCTTCCATCACTCGCAGTCTGACATTTTGCCCAGATTTTGAGTTTTATAAAGTATACATCTGTAGCAGAGCTAACCCTCTGTCATCCCATAATAGACAACATAGAAAAATATCTTTAGGCAGACACTGATTAAGTTAATTGCACCTTAAAAGCTGATATTTTTCTTTTGCTCACAAAATATTCCTAGGGTGACTAAGATCGAGGTTAAACATTTGCACTTGGTCAGATGAATCTCATTTTGTGTTCCAAATCCAGTTTTGCCCTCATTATCATATTTCCTCAGTATTTTGGTGATCATCTCCTGTTTAATACAACAGAGATTTCTCTTCCAATATGTAATTGTTTATTCATTACTTTGCAAATTTGTCCTCGCTAGTCACTATAGCTTAAATACATGATACTTGATACTGTTGTTTAAAACCCATGCAGTATCTTTCTCTCCTGTGTAGCGTATGTAGAAAGAAAGCAGATATTCCAGTAGGAGAGCATTCCACTAGTATGCTTTTTAGTTTTAAATATACAAGGCCA